TTTGGGGGTGGGGGGTGAGGAGGGCTTTATTTAACCTTTAAAACATTTACAGAGCTTTTTAATATTCTAGAGCTCATTATAAAAACCTTGAAACTTTTGGCAAACCTTTTAAAGGTATTCTTGATACAGTTAAAAAATACCTCAAATAAGTGGACATGCTTATAAGAAAGACTGGTCTTTCAGCTGGTGATAATCAGCCTTGCTTCACTGAATTCAACAACCTTATGCTGACCGTCTGGTGTTGCAGGCATTTACAGGGTGGAGTCTATCACAAAAGCATAAGCTTAGCTCTAATTAATGAAATCTTTGTTGAGTTGATGGGATAAGACTGATTTGCAATAGGTAAAGGTCTGGCACAGAGGATGCATGTGAGTCATGCATGTGAGAAATTACCTAAACAATTTGTAAATGGAATTACTAAGTATTATCTGTCTTTTACGACCAGTAAGTATTGACTTACAGTGTATCATTAGTGTTTATGTGATGAGCTCCTAACCAGATTAGTGGATTCTTTTCAATGGATAATTCTATCACTTTTTTTTTTTTTTTAAAGTATGTTAACAAACACATAGCATTTCAAGCCACCTTAGCAGTCATAAGATGTTACATGATAAGCACATCTTAATAAATGGCATTTGATCAACGTGTTTATAGGAAAAACAAAAACAAACAAACAAACAAAAAATAGCACCAGGTGTCCACTGTACCTCACTGAAAGGAACACTTATAAAAAGATGAATGGCTAAGGCTGAGCAGTAGTCTGTGACAACAGTACCTGGTACAGTCTCCTCTGATGTGGAAGGTGACCAGCCCCTTCAGCTGTCTGCACCAGAGTCTCTGGGTTGTCTGAACTGTGTTTTGTGCAGACTCAGAATGGAAAATGTGACATTTAAGTTGTCTTTCTGGTCCTTCTTTCAGGACTTGCCAGGTGCCAGTTAAGTCTTTGCCACGAAACATTTATCTTCAAACTTGTCTGTTTTGTGACCAACAATCCATAGTTGCTGAGGCCTTTCCAGAATCAAGAGACTAGGAACTCCAAGGTACAGGAGGCCTAACAATATCTTATTTTCAGCTGCATTCATGTCAGCAAAGTGGATATTTTAGGCACTATTTTGCTCCTGTAAAAGAAAAGGGATAAGACTTTAATGAGGGACTGTGATGAATCAGACTTGCAAATCAGGTCTGCTGTCCACATTGCCAGAGCTGCTGCTTCATGATAGCATAAACAGTGCTGATAGCCATTATGTGTGCAACAGAAGTATCTGGGAATGTGTTAGTATTTCTTTTTAATGGGGCTAGAACTGTTTTGAAGTCAATTGCAGGTCATCCTCCCATCCCCGGTTTCATTCAAGTTTCAGAGGGTTAGCCTGGTGTGTGCAAACTTGACTCCCTTCAAGGGAGCTGAAAGCTCTCCTCCCAGGATACACTAAATGTGCTCCAACCCTCACCGAGGATACAGGTGTGCAAAACAGTGTTGCACAGTTTGCAATAGCAGGAGGGGCTTGCCAAGCATGCACGTGACATTTGAAGATTTACAAACCAATGAAAGCTCATGCAATGTTCAGAAGAGCTCTTTTATGGCATTTAAAATCCATAAGACTTACGCACCTTTATATTTGTAGTCAGTCATGCAGTCATCTCTTCACTGAAGATCCTCTCTCTTCTTTAACTGTTTTATCTTCTGTTGTCTTCTACCCTTGTTGCTTTTGTGTCACTTTTAAAGAATTATATCTCCTTTCTTCCTGCTCTTTCTTCTGGCTCTCTGTAGAAATGGCAACATACCTCCCTTTATTCTCACAAAAGTTCCAGAAAAGTGTTTCACTGACCAACCTGTGCCTTGAAGGGCCAAGACCTTTTCTGGTGTCTGGATAGCATTTCATTACCAGCAACTGAAGCAATCCATTAAGCTCACGAGTGCAATCACATATGCAATGACCAACAAAGAGTTCCATGTTAAAATAAAGAAGATGAGGTCCCTTTTATTGAAGACATGGAAAAATAATGTCCCTTTGGTCCTGTTCAGCTGCAGCCTGGTACAGCCCACTGTCATGGAGTCTTATGGAGCCATGGCCACTGTTTTGAATGTGAGTTTGGGCTTTCAGGAGTTTGAGCAGTAACAAAGAATTAGCAATGCTAGATCACAGCTATGGGCTTCTGTTTTGTCCCTCCACAGATAAAAGTGTCACAGTTGTCATGGTTGTCTCAGATCTAGAGAAAACTGCAGTCCCACCACTCTGGTTCACTGACACAGATCAAAGCTTTGGCTTAACCCACGACAAAGCAGTTGCTGTGATTAGCTGTAATTTAACATGTCTTGTTCCTCCTTCCTTTTGCAGGAGGCACCCTGTCTGCTCACTCACAGTGTTGTCCCAGAGTAGTGGAAGCAGGATTTCATCCACCCCTACAAACCTTTTTTTGGACAATGAGCAAACTCAGAATAAGATGTGTGAGCATGAAGAAGACACCAGAAATTAGCAGGTTTGCTCATTTCAGTCAGGCTTGTTGCTGTGTGTGAAGTTTTATACATGCAGTCATGGTGGCAGCAGTGACATGCTGTTGTCTTCTGCATGACACAGGCAAAAAGATTGCACACGGTCTTCTATAGATATAGAATAGACTTGTCTGTATGGAGACCTGCATCCAAGAAAGCCAAGAGTCTCAAAGCTTTTGAGATTGCTTTACGGTGAGCCTCATGCCTGTATCTATGTTTGGCTCATTGGAACAGGCTAAATCAGATCTGAAGTATACCCAAAAATATATATGTTATAAAGGTAAAGGTGTCATCACATGCTCATCTGTTAATCTGCCCCTATTGCAAAAACTGCTTGCACTTGAAATTAGGTGACTTGTTTTTCCAACATTTACCTCTTGGGGATCTTTCAGGGAGATCTGGCTAGTCCCAGAGGATGGCGCACAGAATGATCTGACTCCTACCTTTCACACAGCTTTTTGTATCTCACCTGTAGGCTGCCCTGGCCTATTGCATACTTAGTGTACAAAGCTTGTCTGTTCCATAACATTCATATATATGTACTCATTTTCATGTTGGACTTTCAGGCAGGATACTTTTATTTTTTCGGTTTCGAGTGGCACTGCTGTAAAATTCTTGTAGCAAGCTGAGCTGGTACATCTTTCTGTAAGTGGCTTTTGCAGTAATGAATGCGTCTTCCTTCGCATTCCAATTCTGGAGCAGTTTGAGGCATGAGCCTCCTGGCCCTTCCTGGTGTTCAATGATCCTGAGATTTTTTTTTTTTATTATTATTTTTTTTTTATAAATGATATTTCTTTGTAATATGTCAGAGATGAGAAACTTTTGCATTCATGTTCCAAAAACCTGACATCTAAGATTGTGCCTGCAGCAGGGCACGCCATGGGTATGTGCGAGGATACAAGACCTTTGGTATCACAGGACAGAGCTTGACAGCAGGAGAAAAACCTGGTGCAGACCCATCTATATCACCCATCTGAGCAGTTCCAGGGCAGATCTAACTATGGCGCCATGCCTGGGTTTTAGCTGATGAGAGGAATCTATCAGTTTTTCTCCAGAAGGGATCCTGCAGGCATACAGTAAGGATGGTCACAGGAACAAGGCACTGAAATGAAACAAAGTGTAATCTGAATTGACAGCGTAAATTCAAACACTGTGTCTACTAGCTGTGACCCAGGGGGATTTATTTGAGACATGCAGATGGTGCAAATGCAGTGAGAATAAGTTAAATGTACTTTGCCTGTTCTTAATTTCTAATTTCTTGTACCTCCATATAATTATTTTTGCTAAGAAATATTGTAATCTCAGCAATTAATATCCTGAATTTCAGCCAACTTTATTTTTTGATATTGAAACATCCCATTAATTTCCTTTCCTCTCCTCACTCCCCATTACTGACATGTTTACAGCAAGTCAGGTATAATGAGAGGGTCTTAATTGTTTCTCTTTCAGCATAGGAAATTATCCTCTGTCCTCTATTTTTATCGTGAAACTTGAAAAAGCCTATCTATATTAATTGTAGGGTTGTGCCATATATAAATATAATGCTGATTATACTATTGAAATATTATTTTCAACATCTAAAACAACCATGGTACCATTCAGTCTCTTCAGATGAGAAGCAGTGCTCATGTGAAAGCAAATTGTAGTGAACAATGCTCAAAGAACTCTAATATGTTTGAAGCAACTTAAAGCAGTAACTATGGCCTTGGACACACAGACAATCATTCACTCAGACTACAAAGCAATCATTTTGTCCAAGAGGAGAGAAAAATAGGTTGGAGCAACAATTTGTTCCTAAAAAAAAATGGAATCAGTTAATCAATTTGCAATAACTATCTGATTTATTTGTGTAATAACATGACTGACAATTTACAGCCTTTGCCAATAAATCTCAAACTCATGATTTGCTGCAGCCATAAGCCATTTATTTTATAAAGATGACCTTTAATCTCTCTTATGATTGATTAATCAGTATATCATAAATAGAGTCATGAGAGGTGAAGAAAGATTTGCTTGATGATTACCAATTTTCTGTTTCTAAAGAGCTCTGCAGGTGTGTCCAGAACACAAAAAGCTTCATTAAAAGACAGTGGAGGAGCAAAGGAGGTGCCTGGTACTGCACTGACAGATGAAAACAATAAAATTACTTAATATTTATTCATTTAAAAAAAAAACCCTCAGTGGACAAAAATAATCCTCCAGTCATAAAAGGCTATACTGTTACCTTTAATGTTCCTAAATACAAGAGAGTGTGGATGCTTAACCCCTGGATAGAAAACAGAATGAACTGTGGCTGTGATTTCAATGTCCTCTTAACCTCTCCCACTTTGGGGTGTTTATTAGGTACTTTAGCTCTTTTGGTAAACACTGTTTTCAGCTGTTCTACCTAATGACTAGAGAGACAGAGAGCTTTCCAGTGCTTTTCTCACTTGTGTTTTCCTCCACTAGCCATGCACTTGGAAGAGCAAATAGCAGGTAAACATCACCTACTATCCTGATTCATCAGCTAAGTTTGTGGGAGCATCCTCTACTCTCTGGAGATGTGTTTTCATAACTTGGCTTCAGCTGATGTAATTTCTTGCCATCTGAAAAAGAGTTCCCTCCCATCCTGCTCCCCCTTGTCAGGGGCATGCTCCTGCTTTCTCTTGAGCATGGTGTAGCACTCAGGTGAGTAAACAGTAACCCCTCATAAAAGGGAGGGAAGAAGAAGTGATTGAATACAAAAAAAGTGTTTTTTTTTTGTTTGTTTGTTTGTTTGTTGTATTATTTGGTTAGTGACAACTCACATACCTAGTCATTGGCTGAATATCAGGGCTAGTATAAGGAAGATTGTGGATAAGATGAGGTGAGCATCCAGTTGGCTCAGGTGCAGACCAGAAGCTACACCCAGAGGGCTCCTGAAATGCAGGTACTGCTTTTCCTTCGCTCCTCTATGTGTAGCCCCCTTGCCTCCCTTGTGCCTGTGGACACAGTCTGCTCTGTGGGCATGCTGTCTTGGTGCCTGTAGGCCAGCACTCAACCTAATGCAGAGGAGAGAACAGAAAGGAGCAAAAGGACAGGATCAGAGAAGGCTGTGGTAGTTTGATGAATTTACACTTGAATACAAGAAACATGTGGTTCATCCAAAGTCATTGGCCTTTCTTAATTTTGTGTGTGTGAAAAGTCGGTTGCTGACTTCCAAACTTTATATTACAGAGTAGTTCATAAAACACTACTCAAATGAAATAAAGATACCTGACACCTGGGTTTTACTTGATTTGTAGAGCTGTAAATGAGTGTACCGGAAGTGATAAATTGAGGAACCAGGAGCATAGGATATTAAAATGCTACATGTGACTGATAGCTGAGGAAGCCTGATGATGGCTGGAGAGAAGGTCTGTGATGTTATTCTAGGCCATTCACCCCTTCCTGGATTGCAATCTCTTTAACTTTACAAATTACGTAAGTGGTAGATTTGATAGTTCTTCTACTCCTTTAGCACTGGAAATAGTATATTTGTGACTTACTGACCTGGAAAAAGCTGTTGTGTGCAAACACCAAGTGAATTTAGGAGCTTTAGGGCTTCAGGTTTCAGATACTGGGAGAGTACTATTGTGAAGACTGTTTCTTTAACTTGTTTATCAGTATCAAAATAATAAAATGAAAGTCCGTTTCCATACCTTTATCAACACAGCGCTCTGTTGTTCTTATCTAGGCAACTTGTTACAGAGACTCAGATTTATTTCCTTCATTTCTGGGGGGAAAACTAGTGATGCAGTGTATTCAGACCCTGGGGGGACAAAGTAACTACTCTTATTCTAGAATAAGGTGTCTCTTTTGAAAAGTATAGACAGACAATGTTGGGCAGAGACTTAACGATGCTTAATGTGAGAGAAACAACAGACTTCCCAAAACAGCTGCTTTTTAGACTTAGAAAACTGCACAATCAGCACATGCTCCTTTCCTCATCCAATCTTTTATAAGTAATAAAAATCTATACCAAAGTATTTTTAAAGTAGTAAGATCTTTACACTTATTTAAATAGACCGTGGGACAGGCCCTGTAATTATCAACTGCTGAAGATGTTCAACTTGCTGGGCACTTGAAGATTACAGTAATATAGCTACTACAGTCAGATGCAGCAAATATTCTGGATGCACAGAGTACTCTAACACTGTTGTACTCATAAGCTTTGTACATATCTTTCTGAGTTTCTCAGTTGTTACCTAGCATTACTAATGAGGGGGCCAAACACAGTCACTAGACTAGACTAGAGATCAGTGGTCCAACTCCCATGGTTAAGCTGCACAGCCCAGAGACTCTACCCCATGAAGAGCACATACACAAGTTGAGTCTGGTTCAGTGACACAAAGGACTTGCAACAATGTTCAGTGCCTGTAAGACATGTGTTTACTCTCAAATGAAAATATGACAAATTTTCTTGTTCTTATACAGGTGTTATAGGGCAAAAGACTTCACCATGCCAGCCATAGATACATACTTTAATGCAGTCCGCTGAAAATCTGAAAAATTTTCTTCCAAATGTAGATATAGAGCACTTGAAAATGCCTTTGGGTTTAAGGTTACAAACTGAAGCCAGACCTGCTGAGATACGACAATAAGCTGCAGAGTCACGGAGTTCAGGTCCCTAGGAAGGAGGCAGAAAGAGTGCAAGGTGATAGTCAAATTAAGGGTGCATGCCCTGAGGGAAAGCAGAGCATGGAGGGCAGTAAAACCTGAACTGTAGCTTGCCTCATGTTTTCCTGTCTTTCTAAATTCCTTCAGACCTCTGAAATAGCAGCAGCCAGCCTGTGGGGTGGCTGATAATTTTCCTTCCCAAGCTTGCTATATTTCTGCTACTCATCTTTCAAACAGGACCGATTGATTTTTGGTGCAAGATGGTGCAATCTTCCCAGATTCTGCAGGCTTTTTAGAGACTTATCCAATAGCATTTGAATCTCTGGTGAGCGGCTCTCTACAGCTTTATTCATGCATGTCTTAGCAAGTAGATCTGTTCAGTGATTTGCTGGATTGTTAGCTCTGTTAGAGACTGGATGAAGTGACAGCATCCTTTTTCTATTCGTGATTTCAACAAGCATTTCAAATCTAGTTAATTTGCTAATATACTCAGGAGAATCATAGATACCTCTATCAGGGTTTTTGGATTAAAAAGGAATGCAGCACTTCTGTTCAGAGGTTAAAACTCACAGAAGGTTTGATTGTTTTGAATGTTAACATTGTATTTATTTTCCAAAAGTGTCCTCTATAAGTAATGTGTACTGTTTTCTGATTTACATTTGATAGAAGACTGAATTTAGTTTGAGAAAGCTTGAGTCTCAAACTCTGCATTGATAAAGTCCAATATTTTAAATCTAGGAGTGCAAGCAGGGTTGGCCTGAAATACAGTGATTTTTGCAACTCCACCTCCTCTCCAACAGAACATGTTTCCACCATATAATTAACTCTGTATTTCTCCTCATTTAGCCTGTATTTTTAGTGAAAAGAAATAATATTATTGTCAGTCCCATCAAACAGACGCTGCCATAGGCTCAACAACGCAATGGAACAAAGCATTAAGAGAAGACAAAATTGCTTTATTTTGAGGCTTAGGAGGAGGGAATCATCAAGTCACTGGATTTTCTAATGCATATATTAAATTGGCTGGCAGAACATTTCAACAGGGACGCCAAGCCAGCCAAAAGACCTAGCCCATAACCTCTAATCTTTTGGAGCTTAACTCTATTATTTGCTATTAAAATTAGATGTTACTGACTTGTAACAGATGTCTTCAACAGACACATTTTTATTATTGAGGAAGTTTGGGTAAATGGAAATTGAGCCCCAAATTTTATTTTGTAGATTACGGGACTGCTGTGCTTTGTGGTTGAAGTTGGCACTTTAATCATGAATTATAAAAGCTTTTAGAAACCACACATTAATTGATGCCTCAGCAGTTCTGCTGAATCACAGTAAGAACAAGGGCTGCCATGAAAAGAAGTGTTGCAATAACCCGTTGGCCAACACAGTGGCTCTTTTTTACACAATGACTGACACTAGTTAGTGGGTCCATGTTGTGCATCTCCATGGAATTATGTTAATTTTTAAGCAAGCAAGCAAGGGAATAAGAGGAAAATCTTCCCAAATATCTTTAATAAAACAAGCTTGAAGATGCATGAAGGAGTATGGAAGATCATTATGAATATGCACCAGTACAGGTCTTTACATAAGAACAAGAGAGATTAAGATGATCTCTGTATTTACAACAGTTAAACAAACAAACAAACAAAAGTTCAGAAACCACAGGTGAACTTGTTTTGACAAAACCATTTAAGCTAGGATATTGCTTTACTGTGAAACTGCCCTCTTCAACACTCTTCAACATGAATAGTTTAATATAAAATGGAATATATTAATATTCTGCAGAATGTGGGTATGGTTCCATGTGCCTCTAGCACTGTATTAGAGACCCTGGCTTCAAGAGTACAGAGATATTCTTTTTTCCAATTTAACGATACTATTCAAAGGCACTAGACAGTAAAATGAACTTAATCATTTCAATAATATTCCCCTCTCCCTGAAGGTACAAGGGGAATAGACACTTAGATATAAGGATCATGTTTGCTTTATGAACTTCTCAGGAAAGAGTTCACTGTTTCTTCCTATTTTTCCTTAAGGCATGCTATTTCAGTGATAGTAAAGGCATAATTAAAAAAAGAAAAAAAATGAAAAAAAAAAACAAAACAAAACAAAAAAAAACGAAACACAGGATCTGTTTGATGTTCTGTTTTCTGAGTGTGCTTCAGTGTGATAGCAACGGTAGTGAGAAATCTGGACTTCATGAGCCCTGAATAATATTGTGAATGTTTTTGAAAATAAACTAATTCTTTTAGAATTATTTCTGTTAACCTCATAACAAATTTTCAATTACAGGACAGACTTGAAATTACGATGTTATATATGGCACATTTTTCAGGTAGTATTTAAAAACTGGTCTCCTGAAAACCTGCTACCATGGAAGTCAGTAAAATAAGTTTGTGAGGGTATTTGTGAAATAAATCAACTTGAATGAGGCGGGGAACATTGCCCTAGGGAAGGATTTCTATCTTTACTATAGTACCACCCTGGACCAATCAAGGATACAGTCACTGCATGTGAACCTCTTATGTTATTCTGGTAGTGTAATTAAAATCATCATTTTTCACCTTGACATAGTTGTTGTTTTTAATTGCCATGATGAAAGAACAGAAAAATAATGTATTTTGTATCCACAATTATCTTTGCTATGCAAGCAGTTTATGCAGAAGGATATGCCATTTCTGTACTGCTTTAAAAACAGCATTTACTGTTTTTAAAATGAAAACCAATTCTGACTTGGAAGAGGCTGTAAAGGATGTGTTTGTCAGGAAGCATATTTCAGTGTGCTTAAAAATGGCTTTAGGAAACATTTATTTTCTGAATGGTTTATGAGTGATGGCTTTGTAATATTAGATGTAATATGCCTTATTTCTCTGTATCTTGTACATGGTACTATACACTCCAGCTGCTGGTGTTTTTATGTAGACTCAACCCATAAATCCATGACCTGAAGATATCATGGCTTGAAGAATATATTTCCAAGAGCTTCTATGTTTTTTATCCAGCTTTATTAGTTAGCCTCATAAAAGATTTTCTCTCTCCTTATGAAATGA